TACTACTACTTCTTCTTCTACTACTGCTACTGCTACGACGACGACGACGACGACTACTACTACTACTACTACTGCTATTACTACTCCTGCTGCTGCTGCTGCTGCTACTGCTACTGCTGTGGCTACTGCTGTGGCTACGGCTACGGCTACTGCTACTGCTACTACTACTGCTGCTGCTACTACTACTACTACTACTGCTACTACTACTGCTACTACTACTACTACTACTACTACTTCTACTACTACCCTATTACTACGACGACGACGACTACTGCTACTACCACTTCTACTACTTCTACTACTTCTACTAGTACTAGTACTAGTACTAGTACGAGTACGAGTACTAGCACTTCTACGACACTAGTGCTACGACGACGACTACTACAGCTGTCCAGCAGTAATGGCAAAGAAATGAGTGCATCATTTTGGCTGGTGCTAGCATTCCTGTTCCCACATTGCTAATACTGTTAATCGTAGCGATACAAATAGGAAATCACAAGGATATACAAGGATAATTACGTAAACAATAAAGTCATAACCATAGAAATTTTGATTATAAGCCTGAGGCTGCTTAAGATCCGTTCAAGGCCTGGGCCTAGGGGATGCCAAGAGAAGAGGCTGCTGCGCAGCCCGGATAACGAGCCGTCGGACCTGTCTTCAGGTGCGCGGCAGGAGTTAATGTCCCGCACGGACCAAAGGGCAACGTGATGTGAAGGTGGCCGTCAATGTCACGGCCCGGATGCAGCACGCCCTGCGCTTTGAAGGCGGATACGCATCAGGGGGTCTCCTTCTGCGTGGCCGCACAGCGCTCGGGGTTGAAGAACGACCTCTCGAGCCAGCCGAGCAAGTGCGTGCGCCGGCAGAAATCTTGCCCGGTGCGGTGAAGGGATTGCATGCCAGGTTGGTTGGGGCGGAAATTGGGCCCGGAGAACATGCTGCTAGTTGCAAGTGTGGCACATAGTTTCTACAAGCGCCTCCATGCGACTGTCTTGCAAGAGCCTCTACCTGCAGGCTTTGCTGAGTCCAGACGACGACTGAGAGAGTCACGGTCCAGACATACATGTTAGACTCGGCTGTGCTCTAAAATCCCTGTACTACGGGCTTAAATTCAAAAGTTGACAATGCAAGCTAAGCTGCATTCGGCCAGGTCCCGCGTAGTCCTGCAAGCGCCGGGCGAGCGGAACTTTCACGTCTTCTACCAGCTGTTGCGTGGGGTTACACAGGCCCGGTTCGGGTCCAGCATGGTCCAGTCCTTTGAACTGCAAATCGCTGAATCTCCCACAAGTGCATTTTTCATCATTGGAGTGATTGAGTGGCGGATCAGAACTTTGGTGCGAAAACAGCCTGTAGTTGCAGCAAACCTCCTTTACACACTCGCCGGTAACGTGAGCAAAGAAGTCAGGTACAAATCCAGTACTTCATCAGAACTCGTACTGTCGTCGCAGCTCTGTTTCAGAGTGCCGTGTGAATTGTCCCATAGTTCAATGCAGGCGAGGAGAAAATGGCAATCATCATTGTGTTCGCTCATGCACTTGATGGCCTGCCAATTTAGAAATTAGTGATAGTGTCGATAGGTTTGCGATGTATACCTTCATCGTGTGTGCATCATGAGTGCCGGCAAGTACACAACAGAGCACCGCAGAAACGGTAAGAACCCACTACAGCTGGTCCTAGTGATTGAGAAGGAGTTAGGGTCGTAGCGGGGTCATGTGGTCATGACACGAAACAACTTAAGATGTGAGTGTTGTGGGTGCATCGCTCTCTTTGTCTCGGTCCCCGGTGGTGGGGGTGCTGCTGCTGCGGCGTCGTAACGGCGGGCTTATGTTTCTTCAGCCTTCAGCTGAAGAAGATGCTCGGGGTCTTCGCTTCTCTCGCAGGGCTGTGGACACTGGTGATTGGGACCAGAGCCTGATCGTCACAACGGCGCGCGTTTTCGCACAGCGCCCGTCTTCAGTTGACCCCAACGCGTTGCTTCAATCGAGCTTTCAGGACGCTGGGGGGAAGCTTTGAGGCTGTGGCTAGACTTGGTGGCGTCGTGTCGATTGTATGGCGGCAGCAAAGCAAGCTGCGAAGCACAAGGTTGCCTTGCGAAATCGATGAAGCCCGACTGGTTCGTGCACACCATGAGTATTCAATGAAACAGCACATGTACGGGCAAACAACAATTTCAGCGAGTTTTCTCGTCGAGCTGTGACTTGCATTGTGTTGAACACACCATCCCAGAGACTGACTTCGCGGCCTGTTTGGTTCGAGGTCCCTCGGCACCAGCCTTTGTTCTCACTTCCTGCAATCGCGCCCAACCGGTGGCATGGCGGAAGCCGAGGCTGTGTACCGCTACGAGTCCGGAAACATCGCACATGCCCCCAAGAAGGATTACGGTCCTTTAGACTTCACTGGGAAACTATGTGGAGGCCTGCGACTCGACATCCGCAGGCGGGCGCCGTTGTATTGCAGTGATTGGACGGATGCCTTCACACCGGAGAACTTCCAAAAATCGGTATCGTCCATCTTGTATCTGTTCCTTAGTCTTGCAGTATTCAGATTGTAAGCTTTTGTGAGTTCTTCTACTGCACTGCTATTCTGAAAGTGTGGCTTTTCCTCTTTGGATATTGGCCATGTACGGCAGTAAGGTTCATCGCAGCCCTTGCCCCTGCGATTACGTTCGGCAGTCGGTTCCTTGACGGCACGAACGGCCAGTTCGGAGTGATGGAAATGATCATGAGCACATGTATCAGCGGTCTGATTTTCTCGACATTTTCCGGTCAGCCCCTTTCGATTTTGGGAGCTACCGGTCCGTTCTTGGCCTACACACTTGTCGTCTATGACCTGGCAGTCGCCGTGGAAGTGGAGTTCATGCCGTTTTATTTCTG